CCAAATGGAGGAAAGGTTTCTGAATGATGTTGGCAGAGGGAGGATGTTGAAGCGGCAGTGGGGAGCAAGGGGTCTGCCAGCTCTTTTTTTCAGGGACACAAGACGGAAAAAAATAACATCATTAAAGAAGGCAGCTGTGGATTCCAATGACAGTGGTCTTTTTATGACTTCATTTCTCTCTAGTTCTTAGTGCTCTCTTCATTCTTTTCAAATTATATATATATATATATACACATACACACATACATACATACATATACATACTATATATACACATACATACATAGACATACACACATATAAACTGTGGACGTGTTGTAGTGCCCTCCCCCCACCAATAGACTGGAAGCTCCCTGAGAGCAGGAACTATTTTTCATTTTGTCTTTGTATCCACAGCACCTAACACTGTGCCTGGAGCACAGCAGGGGCTCGATATAAACGTGTTGGATGGATCAGACCTTTTGAAGTCTTCAAGAAAATAGGAAGTCTCTATTTTAAAGGGGTAGCTTGGGGTAAAAAAACATTAAAAATGAGGGAGGCTTTAGACAACATAGAATCATGGCACTAATTTTTGGATGAGGAATATAATTTTTAAAGATGACAGACATTTTCCTTTGGTCTTTGCTTAAGAGATGCTTTCCCAATTGCAATTTGCAGTTAGCACCAAACTATTCCCTTTAATTCGTTTATCTAATTCCTGTCCTCTGCCATATAAACATAATTACCAAGAAGAATCAATTTGTTCCTACTTAGAAAAGGCTAAATTAAGAAAAAAAAAGACTGTGCCCCACAAAGTTTAAGAAAACAGGGGATGCTTATTGTGGCACTGACGAGGATTCCTTCTCCCTAGATGACTTCTAGGGGTACTGGTCGCATCAAGCACGTCCGGGGAAAAGATTGACTTCTCTACCTGCTCTTTTGTTTATTTCTTTCTTTTTGTTTAATTTGCCAAGCTAGCAGTTCTGGATTGGTATACCTAATGAATAAAGCAGCATGTTAGATACAAAGTGCACAACCTTGGTGTCACCTCCAACTAATCTTGTGTCACCATTTCTCTAAGGGAGTCTCATTTCTCATCATCAAACAGAAAGGGATTTTCCAAGAAACAAACAAGGAAAATGGTAAAATAAGAACTCTTTTCTTAGATTAGGAGAGTTGTGAATTTAAGGGGACCTAAAGGTGGTCCTCCTATTAAAATCCTCCTCCAGTGTTTCACTGTGGAATGGAAGTGATAACCAAGGCACAGAAGCCAAGCCAGTGGAAGCCTGGGTAGGGCTTAACCAACTGAAAAGGCTTTGAGTACACACTCTCCAATGGATTGTATGCCTTTCCCTGAGGATCAGCCTCATCCCCAAGTTTGCTGCAGAAGAATCAATTTTTTTTTGGCCACAGCAACTCATAAAGACTATTTCCTAAGTTGTTGAAGGGGATCTACAAAGGGAATACCTATACCGACAAACCCATAGGTCCTTGAAGAACTGAGGAGGTTACATCGTCGAGAAGTTCATTCCACTTCCGCTTTTCTGGTGGCAATATGCATGTATCTGGGTGCTTAATGTTGCCAACTGGGTGACAATTTCCAGCCTGGATCCAGAGGTGGCTGACATGAAGGGAGGGGAAATTAAATCATTGAACAAGAATCATTAAGTAACACATACTTTGCTCGGAGCTGGGCATACATAGAAGGAAATGAACTAGTGCTGGCCCTCAGGAAGCTTACATCCTATAATGCAGAAAACTGTTATTCATGATTAGTTTTTAAATGGTATGTGTTCTTGAGAAAGTAAATTGATGACAATTGTTTTTCAAAATGACTGAAAATAAAGTTTTATTTCCATCCACACTTGACATATTTAATCAATAGCAAAAATAAAGTTTGCTCACGTTTCTCACAGAAAGATTTCACAGGAGCATTTCTTTGTTCTAATCTCACACAAGCTCTATCTTGATGCTAGGATCACCAGCAGTTTGCCAGTGTGTCTGTGTGTTCATACAGGAAGGGTTTGGGTGTCTTCAGAATGTCTCGAGGGTACCCAGGAAATCTGATTGCCTCTCTCACTTCCATTATCCCTCACAGACATGACTCTAAAATATTTCCACTGATGATAAAACCAGGCTCCCCACAGGAGACCTCTGTGAGTTAGACTATCGGAAAGGTAGGGGGTGAAAGGCATGTCATCGTCTAAGGTGACAAGAAAGGAGATAATACAGTGTACATTAACATTCCGCAGTCAGAGTCTTTTGTCCCTGCACATTTCCGGACTGTGACCATCCAGAAAAGAGATGTGGTTAGGCCATGTGAGATTATGAGTTTCACTTCTTTTCAAAAGACAGCTCTGTTCTGTGTGAACCTCACAAATTGCCACTGGGAACAATAGACTACAGGAAGCATTATAATTCAGTTCTGATCTGCTGAATGCCAGTGGACAAAATGTACTGAAAGGATTTCTTAAATTGTTGCTTGTTGGTTTGGAGAAAGTAAATGATGGAACCTTTCAGCAGCTCGACTATCAATAGACTTACTGAAAACAACTAAAACAACCCCTGGTTCTTCCTTTTCAATCTATCCGAATGCATGATTCTTCAAAATTGCCTGGACTTGCCTGAAAAAAATCTGTAATATTTCCTCCCATGTTTGTACTACGGTATATAGGTCTTAGCTCCCTGGGGGAGGAAGGTGAATGGTCCTTATTTACAAGAAAATGATGGCTTATTGGCAAATATGTCTCTTCTGGGAGCCATTGGCTTCCCCTAGAATCCCTCAAAGGGTATTCCAAAAACAAGAGCAAAAAGGTGCATGTGTTGGGACTGCAGTAGGCAGTGAGGGGGAGGAGCATGGTCTTTGCTTGTTTCCAGAGAAGAATGGTGATGCACCCTCTGCCACTCTAGGGCTCTCTCTGCAGGCACCACTGGCAATGATGAGCATGGTCTCTAAAGGAATATCGAACAGTGACCAGGGTAGGACTCCTCTACTTTAGGGCTTATCCTAGGATTCCCAGAAACAGGAGGAAAAATGTTTACTGCTGGAAATACCAGAGCATTCCTTCCCTTTGCTGTAGAAAACAGCAAAGTTGCCACGGTGACTAGGGGGACCTCTACAAGTCAGCCTTCCCCTTAGATCTTGCCTCCCAATTCTTAGAGATGGAGTTATCATTTAGGGAGATTCTGCATCTTTGGGGCATCACTGGCCTGAAACAGATTACTTCTTTACTTTACTTTACATAAGGATGAATTCTGTGGAGCTTATAAAAATACTGCTTGCGTTCCTTCTTGAGGTGACATGTCCCTAAAAACTACCCCTGATGCACAAAAGACTGAAGTAAGAGTTAGTCATGGAGGTCAAGGGCTTTTGCTTTTGTTTCATTCAATGGGGGAATTATGTCATCAAGAAGAGCTTTGTGAGCCTTCAGAATGCTGATGTGAGAGGCACTTGAAATGATGGACTATTCACAACCGAAGAATATTATTGTGTGAGCTACCATCACAATTTGACTTTAAGATGTGGGGCCTTTAAATTATTTTTGTAGATGGCTTCTTGCCACTCTCAAATATCTGGCACAAATCCCTGTGTATTTTATGGAAACAGGTTTGCACATTCTTGCAAAAACCAAAGGTAATTCTTCATGGGCAGGTCCATATATTTGAAAACAAAATTGTACTCAACCATTTATCTATGTGTGTAAGGATACACAGAAAGGACAATCAAGGGGATTTTTCTATTTTTTAATAGCAAAACTCATGGCTTTGCTCAAGAACTTATTAGGCCCCTCCAGGAACAGCTTTGAAACAATCACATTCCAGGTCACATTTCTGTGGCATTTAATCCGCGGCTCCCACCTCTACAGACACAGCTCAGGATATAGGGCAAAGAACCCTCCTCACCTCACAGCAAGTTGCTTCACACTTCTAGGCAAATGATGGGTGTTCTGTTGAAAACTGAATTATTGCCATAGTTAATTGCAGTCTATTTTTAGCACAAAAAATAGGTACTACTCGAAAAAAATTCCAGTAATAGCTGCCAAGGAGACTGCTGTGTTTATGAGCGAGCAAGCTTTAAAGAAAAAACCTAATAGCTATTTATCGTGGATCGACCCACCGGCACAACAATCTGCAGTGCTCATTAGTCATCTATTCAGAATAGTAAAGTCCTTTTTATTTCTCTTGTAGATCTCAAAGCAATATCACAGGCAAAAAAATATAATCAACAATAATGTCTTCTTGACTCTATGTAATTTAACTATAAAGACACACAGAAGTTTCTAGGAAACATTTGAATCTTCTGATTCATGTGAAGAACAGTATTAACGGAGACACATGCTGTATACAACAGCACTGGACTTGAAAAACAAAATTTAGCTAAAATTCATGAACTGAGTATGCATATTTTTCATGAGAATAATTAATACAATTTAAGTGGTATCTGGAGATACATTTGTATATGTTACATATAAAATTTATTATATACATACAGATGTATATATGTACACATATACATATATCCTACATATATTATGTGTGTGCATCTTTCTTGCCTTCTTGGTATGTGTATGTATACATAAATCAAAGTATTTATGTGCATATATATATATGTGCCTATGACCAATAATTGTACTTAGAAGCCAAAAATAAAAAGGTGAATATTTGGAAGAAGTTCTATCTAAGCAGCCAAGGCTAAGAGATGGGACCATTCATCGTTTTTGGTTCTGGGTTCCCTAGAGTTGAATCTCCAAGATGTCTCTGGGGAGCTGCTTTGGCCAAACCCGTTTTGTACTGACAGCACCTGTTGCGTGCTCCAGCAAATAAACATAACAAAGAGCAAGTCGAAAGCAATGAAAACAACTTAAGGGTCAAATTTCTACCTTCATACAGAAGGCTAAAGTTATTACCAGAGGAATTGAGACTAAAAAAAACATTAAACCAACAAAAACCAAAGCATAGCCAGAACCTATTTCCTCTCCCATTGGCCCTCCCATTTAAGAAAGCACATGTAAGGACACCAGTGACAAAGGATGTGGCTTTTTATCTGCATAATACTGATCAAAAACAACCATGCAATATCACAGTCATCACACATGAAAAATATTCATGGTAGTTGTTGGTGAACATTTGTGGCACAGTTCGAAAACACCACTGGTGAAGTCCTGGATCTGAGCATCAAAATTCATCTCATCTTGTCAGCTGAATGCCAGGAACCCTAAGGATAACATTGACCCCTAATCAATAGCACTACACATTGTAACGTTTGGGACAACTCATCTATTGTGACGAGGAACATCCTGTTTGCCAAGGAAGTAAGAATGCCAATTAACATCAAAAGCCATTGCACATGAGGATGCAAATATCCACACTCAACATGAGCACTTCTTCTGTGGGTTTCCCAAAAGACTCCGCCATTAACCTTTGGTGCAGGGTGAGAGTTACTGTTCCTAATGATAGTTTAGCCATAAAGGGGCTTGCAGAGCACATATGGGAGAGATGACAACAAGCAGGTGTAACTGATACAATCACTTCATGGGGAATGGAAAATCTGGACTTAAAAAAGTAAAATAAGGTTCAACAGCACATATTCAGACACAGCTGATGGATCAAAACATAATTAACTGGAGCATCCACGAATCAAAAGTGAGCCCAAAAGGCTGATTTGTATTCTAGCCATAGAAAGCTAAGTCCCTTTGAATTACATGAACTAAGTGGGATTTTCACAGCACAACAAATAATTACAAAGTATACAGAAGAGAGAGGCAAAATAAAAGAGAAACGCAATCAATAAAAGATTATCGAGACTTTCCCAGCTCAACGAAGGACTTGTCCACAAAGGAAGATGATTAAGATAGTCAAAAGCAAAATTAATGAACTTTCACTATAAGCCAGCCTCTCCTTGTTGCCATGTTAAGGAGTCAGCCTGCACCTCCTGCAGGTCCTTGGGATACAAATCAAGGCACTGAGTAGAACTCTAGGCGGTACCTAACTTCCCTCCGGCAGCTCATGCCCAAGGAGAATCATACATTTGTCTGACAATGGTAGTATAAGGGGTCAATTAAAAAACTGGCTCTCTTTAGAAAAAAGAACAACATACATAGGCACAGAAGGACGGAGACTATCGCTGGGCAGAGGATCCAATGATTTTGTTGTTGCTTATGCTTTTAGCTCCCCTTTATACTTAGAAGAGTTGTAACTTCTGGTATACTCAATGACACTGGAAGGGTCCAAACACTTACACACTTCCAAGGAAATAGCCATTTATTTACTCCCAGATCAATAATATCAAATGCAAACACTTACGAAACAACAACAAAACACTGGAAATGTTTTTTTTTGGGGGGGGGGCACTTTCTTAACAAAGTCTGATGTCTGGATTCTGCACTTAGACAACAGGTCGGAAAGGATATCATTTTGTCCATTGTACTTGTCACCCACTGCTACCTCAGGAGATCATTTATGAGCCTCAAGCCCAGGATGCATAAAATGGCCTAGTTTAGAAGCACTTGACTTCTGGCCCATGGTAAGGTTCTGGGCTTCTTCTACCTTTGCCAGGGCTTTCAGCAGCTGCCAGGGGCCACGTGGAAGAGGATCAAGGAATGAAACCCTGCGGTTGCCACTTAAGCAAAAAATTAAGTAATAATTGAGTGAAGGCCAGGATGTGGATGGGCAAAATGAGGTCATCATAGCCTTTGACCTTACACCTGAATTGACAGAGGGATGGATGAAGAGTGGTTATTATGCCCATAGATTGGGAGGTGGTCAAGCATCCCTTGGTCATTGAAGTAATGGGGTGACTTGCTGGGGTCATTCCTCATTGCTATCTATAGTAATCAAAAGAATCACGATGTTTTCAGATTTGTGTATACTCCTTGACCAGTCCAGATTCTCACATAACCGCTACTGGTTGAAAAACATACATAAAATAAAAGCCCTGAGGTGGACAGGGGACAAGAAGTTGGAGAATAGAGAAAAAAGCTGGAAAAGTTTGATAATGCAGATATTTTAAACACTATTCTTCCCCAAATCTGGATTCTTTAATCTTGTAATTGGGCCACTGTGAACAAAAACAGATGTCCCAAGGAACTTTGCTGGCATCACAAAGGAAGACTTCTTACGTGATCACTCAATTCTGCTCTGCCATGAACAGACAGGAGCGGGCCTTCAGAAGCTCTGACAAAATCTTTTTTTTCTTACTACTACATTTTTTTTAAAAAAAGGCATTTCCAATCACCTTGGAGATACAGCTCTTATTTTAAATTATAATGCCCTTGTACTAACTGATTTGGTTACAAAGATTCCCATTGATACCCCCCAGGGTATAAGTGTAAACTTAATGGGAATGCATATGTATTTTAAATATAAAAAATATATATCAGATCACAATAAGAAGGTTATCACACTCCATGGGTCATTCTCTTTGGGACATTTTAAGATAGAGAATAAACTAAACAGATACATTAGTTTAGTGATATATAATCAGTCAAATCCTTTCCCTGTTATGCAAAAGTAAAGATGCAAATACATATTTCAAAAGGTCAGCAAAAAGCTCTTACATGAAAGCAGTATTTAGGCCTGCCTTCCTACTATTTATTTAAAGGTCCTGTTGTAAGGAAGCTCTAATTTGGCATGGGAAGTTCTTATAAAGCCTTATCAAGACACACTGTAGCTACCCAGGAAGCAGTATGTATACACATGTGTCTATGTACACATATGTACCAAAGGTGATCATTTAAGAACTGTATCTTACAGTCAATAGCCAGATTTATACAGGGAAGTGTCACTGTTTGGCATTTTGATATTCTGATACATAAATATATACACACAAATCTTATGTGTTATGTATATGACAACATACATATATACATTACTTTTTAACAGTAGTTCACACTGGATATAAGAACTGAACATTCATTACACAATAATTTCCTTTTTTAAACAACTGTTTAAACTTCAAGAGGGCAGGCCATGGAGTCAGGACAATCAGATCTCGGCGACAGGGTGTACATCTTCTTAGCTTTCAGTAAGCCCTGCAGGTTTGATTAGCAGCAAAGCATCCCTTTCATCTAGGTATTTATTTTTTAGGTAAACATAAAATATCTCTATATATACACATTTATATATACATACATATGCACACTGTACATGAATATAGTCTACTCTTCTGGCCTCAAATTTAAAAATTGACAGTTATTCTCCAAAGCTGTACAGCTTGCAAATACTGTCTACACTGTATCAAACTTGAAGTTTATTAGCACCCAGGTGGTTGATGTCAAGCCAATTCTTTCATTTAAGTTGCAAACTGCAGTTTTGGATTTCTATTAAAATTGATACAGTGAGTCTCCCAATTTGTTATTTGGATCTTGCTTTTTTTTTTCTTTTTCAAATTGATCCCTATTTTTGATAAAAGGAAGGCTACATGCCCTTAAATACATAGTTTCAGCAATCCTGAGGATCAAATCATTGTTTAAAAAATAGGAAAAACTTTTTTTTAAAATGGAAGAAAGTTCTGTTAAGGAATGTTTTCTCCCAGCAAATGAAACTTGCAGCATTCTGACCAAGTAACAGGCACAGAGCTTCCTGCAGAGAATGGAGTGGCTGTGGATGGCAGCCACGTGCCCCGTGCATCGAGAATCCGGGAAGGCATGCTGGATTCATTTCAGCTTTGGTTTCTTCTCTTTGATACCCTTCAGGCAAAGCATATCCCTTTGGCCATCACGTTGTAATAACTGAAGTCCTGGCAGGTTAACTTCATTGGGAAAAACAAACCCCAGTCCACTCGAAACAGGTTTTTCATCTTTTAGTTGGATAGTTCTTTGTTCCCCACGGATAGGAATGATACCTAAAAGGAAAAGAGGCTCTAGTGAGAAATACCTGAGTTCACACTGTCATACTGATATTAGGAGAGGCAGCCCTGCCTCTCTGTTCGAACAGTCCTCAACCGGGAGCCAGAAGATGGAACATCAAGCCATGAGACTATATCTAACCTCTGTGAACCCCTGTCTCTTTCATGGAGATATCACTATTTGTATTACACCACAGCAAAGTCCTTTTCAAATTCTAAAGTTCCATATTGTGGGGAACTCTCATTAGGAGGCCATTAATGAAAACATGGTTGTGAAGAGAGCAATGGAAATGTTGATGTTAAAATGTGGTCTTTCAGAAAGGAAGATGTTGATTCTGTTGTTCACTTAAATCAAAAATAATGAAGCAGTTCAAAGTGACTTGTAGATATCTGAATGTCAATGGACTCAAAAATGTATGTTTTTACTTGCTGGGCAAGTCATTTTGGCAAATGAAAGTATGCACAGGGAGATATGCCTACTGGGCAAAGACCACTTGGTGCCTTGCTGGGACTCAATAAATGTTTGTGATTTTTCCCTATCATAAAATAATCGTGGTACATATTTTAAAGTTCACATATGCATTTGATTCTACATAGATTGTCTTCTCTAATTGTACATAAATTTGGCAGGGTTCCACACCAAGAGCACCGATATGAAAATAGAGAAAAATAATGTTTTTTCTTGGAGTAATTAAGTATGCATGAACCCACGAGTTCAACAGTAATACTTACCGCATGGTTCATAGCCAATATCAGATGGTGGCAGAGTGGAATGGACACAGAACCCTGACCCTCAGAGGCAGAAGATATGGGTTCGAATCCTGGCCCTGATGTATCCTAGCTGATTCACTAGGGACACCTCTCACTTTCTATTCATCTCTAAAATGAGGATTATACACTATTTATCTTCAGGATTGGAAGGAGACTCCATTGTAAACTTTAATATGCCCTGTAAATATGAGCTATTACTATGGGAAGAGCCCCTAAAGGAAAACTAATTAACTTGGGGTACCTCTTGGCTACTTAATTTACCCACTGTGTCACCTCATCTGGATCTACCCTCCCCCAGCACCTACATTATGTTTTATATCCTTCACTGATACTGTTTTCCTTCCAACGAAAACACCTCTCTCTGGAGGCCCATTCCCTCAGGCCCTGCTCTCTAAGTCTGATCTAGTAACTGGATCATACTAAGGTGTCAAGGGATGATATGTGCTTAATGGGTTACCATCTTCAAGATAAAAACTTTGTTTCAACAGGGGCCCTCAGTGCCTTCCAAAAGGGATTTTAGATACCTCATGGTCCCTGAAGGCCTTTGGGGCCTCTCAGATTACGTAAAATAGGAATGAACAATCTCTCTCTTTTTTTTCTTTTGGTTGGGCAATGGGGGTTAAGTGACTTGCCCAGGGTCACACAGCTAGTAAGTGTTATGCGTCTGAGGCCAAATTTGAACTCAGGTCCTCCTGAATCCAGGGCTGGTGCTCTATCCACTGTGCCACCTAGCTGCCCCAGGAATGAACAATCTCTTCACCTCACAGGTAATAAACCAGACAGAAAACCTCCAGAAAATTTCCCAACAAGCTGTCATCCGGCCTTGGCTCAGAGATTTCCAGTTAACAGGAAACTGGGGCAGCTTCTGGGGTGATTCTCAGTGTTAGAACAAGCTCTTCTCGACATCAAGCCTAAACCTGCCTTTTCTGTAACTTGTACACACACAGCTCTGAGTGCCACTGGGGGTAAGCAGGGCAAGTCAGATCCACTGGTCACGTGACAGGCCTTCAAACACTCAGCCTCACCTTCCTCCCCATGGACAGACGCAGCTCAAGCACCACCTTCTACATGAAGCCCTGTCTGATCTCCCAAGTGCTAGTACTCCCCCTCCAAATACCTTAGATTGAACTGCCCTGTCTTTACCTGTATTTATTTCCTTTATATTTAACCTGTATATATTTCAATGTATACTTCTTACCCTGCACACCCCCATCCCTGCCCGTCAGAATGTAAAAGAATAGAAATGATTTCATTTATTGCATTTGAATCCACAGTGCCCAGAATTGTGCCTGGCACATAGCAGGCACTGAGTAAATGCTGACTAAATTAAGTGACTGACCAGCACACCCAACACATCCTCTCTAGTTCCAAACCTCATGTAGCACAGCCTCTGGTCCCCTTGTCATTCTGCCCCTGAAAGTATTCAGGCCTGAGCATGAAAATCAACTTGGTTCAGAAATATCATCTCTATCTATATTTACATATATCTAGTATATAACACATAGGTATACGCATGTGTATAGACTTACGATACCATGTAAAGAAGTTTATACATATACATGTACATATTCAATTTATATTTATTCTGTACATATACATGCATATATATGTATGTATCATATATTTCTTTGTGTGTGTGTTCTCTCTCTCTCCCCTCCTTCTCTCTCTCTCTTCTATCTCCCTCTTTCTCCCTCTCTCTCCTTCTATCTCCCTTCTCTATCCTTCCTTCTCTTTCTCTCTTCCTTCCCTCTCTCCCCCCTCCCTCCTCCTTCCTTTGTCTCTCTCTCTTTCTCTATTTCTCTCTCTGTCTCTCTCCCCTTGTTGGCTCTAACATTGGCTTCCCGAGGACAGGAATTGTTACTTTTTTTTGTCTTTGTCTTCTCAGCCCCTAGCACAGTCCTTGGCACGTGGAAGGCACTTAATAAATTGTTGATTCACTCATTTATAGGGTAATTCTGGCCTACTTTTCTCAGTCCCTCCCCTGCTGCACCCTGGTCTCTCTGCTCATATCGTGCTCACTTGCTGAAAGGCTCAATGTAATTTTTAGAGCTGGAGGGGTCCTTGGAAATAATGTAGGCCCCTTCCCTCTCCCACTGGAGAGAGGATAGATTGAAACCTGCACTAATTGTGGATCATCTTCAATCACACAGCTGGAAGCTGAGTCCCCTAAGCCATGGTTCTTTCCCCTCTATCACTCACTCCTATTCCAAAGTAATTTTTTCTCTCTGGAACATCCTCCCCCTGAAGCAGACAAAATATTCTGTCCAGTTATTTTCAGAAAATCCCAGTGGACCTGTAACTTTTTTCCCTGACGTGAGAACTCCCTCCACTGACATAGATTTAGAAATGTCTGTGATTTGGTAATTGATCCATACTGAGTGGCCTGAAGCCCAAAGAAATTAAATGACCTGCCCAAGGTCACATAACTATTGAGCATCAGAGGAAGGATTTGAACCCAGGTCTTCCTGGCTTTAAGCCCAGCAGTATGCTGGCCACTAAGCCAGGCTGCTTATTACTTCAAATGCTTAAAAAAATCCCCTTTCTCTGCCTCACCCCCCTCCCACGCCTTCCCAATTTGGTAAAAGGATGCAAGGTTTTTCCTAGCCCCTCTGCATCAGAACATGGAAACTAGTTATTTCCAGTAAATTTGGGTTTGCAGCTGTCTTCAAGCCCTACAGTGAACATATTCCTTAGTTAATTAAAGAAAACAACTTATTGTTGAATTCATGTCTCAGTCTCATGCTCTTGGTCCACTCAGTTGGCACTACGTGGCCTTGAACTTCAAAACTCCCTAAGGCAAGGCGCACTAGTACGGGGCTTCTTAAATCCCCTCCGCAAAGCGTTTCTTCAGAAGCCCACGTGGAATATTTTACATTAAACCAACAATCTGATATCACCAACTAACACCATAGATTAGGGGTCCCCAGGTGGAGAACTGGAAGGGACTTTAAAGGCCACAGGCTCCAGCCCTCTCATTCTGGGGCCTAAAGAGACCGAGGCCAAAGAAGGAAAATGAGCTGGAACTTGAATTGGGTGTCCTGACCCCAGCTCTGGTCTTCATCTACTTCAAGTCCTTTGATAAAGATCACAGGGCCTGGATGGGTGATAGTGGAAACATTTCTCTAAGGCTGGGAGTAAGGGGGAATACATTTTTGTATTATATATGAAATTTTAAAGATTATCTCCCTATCTTCAAGATGCTCCCAGAGTTTGTTTACAGAGAAAATACCAGAGTGACCGCTGATCTTATTTTGAAAATTTTGGTTGCTGCACTTTTCCCTGTTTATGGATAATTAGCTATTTCTAATTGGAACCAGTCCCGTTTCTTAGCAATTAGTGACCACCTGGAAACAGCTGATGGCTTTAGGCAGCGTCAAGGGTCATTGTTCTCGGTTCTCAGTGATTAGTTCCCAAGAAATACCCTGCCTAGGAGCTGCAGCTGCTATAAAGAGCTAGGAGAGGAAAATGTGAAAGTACAGGGACTTGGGGGCAAATAAAAACAAGTATGTGACCAGCTCATTATTTGAATCTGATTCTGTGGGCCACGTTTCCCAATCCATTCAGCTCAGAATTGTGATACGTCACATTCATCATCTTTATATGAGACATTATCATCTCTTATCACAGTGAAGAAAACGTTCTCTTCTTTGTGTGTTCCAGAACAAGGATCTCAAACCATGCCACGAATCCAAGGGTGGCTCCCATGGCATGTGGCTGGGGGTCCTTCAATCCAGATGTATGCGGAACTGGATCAACAGATCCTTCTGATGGTGAGCAAAGACTAGCTTGTCTGTACACAATTGTGCATATGTTGTTTCCTCCATTAGCCTGTGAGCTCCAAGGGAAGGAAGGAAACAAGCATGTAGTAAGCGCCTGCTGTATGTGCCAGGCACTGTGATAAGCACTTTACAACAACCCTACAAGGTAGTTGCTGTTACTATTCCCATTTCACAGGCCAGGAAAACGATGCAGGAAGCAGTTAAGCAACTTGGCCACACAACTAGTGAGTGTCTGGCGCTGGATTTGATCTCAGGTCTTCCTGAATCCAGGCCCAGCAGCTCCTTGAGAACAGATCCTCTCTTCTTTGTATCCCCAGAAATGAGCACGATGCATAGTAAGTCCTTTATGTTGACTTGACTAGTAGTGTATGTTAACTAATGCAACAAATTAAAATCAAATATAATTTGAGTTTGAAACTGCTCCTCTAGACAAAAAGCATGATTTGGTTGGATGTACCATGACCTCTAATTTTAAAAAGTATTAAGAATGATGGGACTGAAAAGAGGTAGCCATAATTTCTCTACATGAGCAAAAAAATATGTATTTCACTTTTTAAACAAGATACAAAGCTCCACTAAGACCAATGTCTTACAGCTTTGATACTAGATTCAACCTTGCTGAAAACAATCGGCTCTATGCATCATACAAATGGAAGCTTACTTACAGCTCCCTTGGACACCAAGCTTCAGCTTTGGTTATTTCTTCTGGGTTTTGAGAACAAGTTGGGCCCTCAACAGGAATGCAATTAAAAAAAGCTTGCCATCATTCCACTGCAAGTTTAGGCAGATTCCAACTTCAAGTCAGGAGGCATTTCAAATCAAGGACAAGGGTGGCTGGTGTCATCCAGGGAAGCCTGGATGTAGCAACCCTCAGAGGAACAATTTGTATTAGTACTGCATTTCAGGACTGCACTGGGTAGAAAGGAAAAGTCAATTATTCAACCAACACTCCAGGGAAGGTGGGTGGGTGGGTGGTGGTGGTAATTTTTCATAACGATTTATCTTTGGAGAACAAGAATTACTCATCCCTTCTCTGAACAATCATAACAAATCCATATTTATAGAAGTAGTATTTTGGAAATAAATCATCAAACCAAGATAGTAGTTGAGTAATCTTAGACATGTGAGATTCATCAGAAAACCTTTGCAGAGAAGGGATAAGAACAGTCAAGAATTTAACCATCTCTCCAAAGACGTTGCTTTTTAAAAAATCATCTAATGGCCTAAAAATGCTTCTTTCTTTCATTCTCTTTTCTTTTTTGGGGGGAGGGGGTGTTGACCTGGAAGGATGGGTAGCATGGCCAAATAAGCAGTCCTGTACCCTTCGTGGGACAACATTGAAATTTTACCCTGAGTTATATTGATAAATCAATATGCATGTAACTGTATAAATAACTTGAGGAGTGGATTCAGTATGAAAGTTGAGACAAAGTAGTATAGTCAACAAGACAAGCCAACAAGCATTTATTAAGTGCCGACTGTGTACTAAGCACTGTGCCAAGTGTTAGGGATGCCAAGAAGGGCAAAAGATAGTCTTCTCAAAGAGCCCACAGTCAAATGGGAAAGACAACATGTAAACAATGAGGCATGAACTACATTGAGGTCCTTGGACTGGATGAACTTTAGGTTCTAGAATTCTATGAAGCTAAGAAATTGATCTCCCAGTGCCAATTAAAGGGACAGAATATTTGAAGAAATTAAATGAGAAATTAGTAGAATCTTTATAGTTCACAAACAATATTTATAATCAAACACAGCCTACAACTCAATTTCTAAGATTTTTAATTATATTCAGAGAATGGCTGTCTATAACAGTAAACCCTCCTGCCCACAATGAGCATACCTTAATTCTCTTCATACTGGTTCCTTTTTTAGCTTGTGTGTGTGTGTGTGTGTGTGTGTGTGAGATTTCTAAATGAGGAATAAAGTATGCTATTTTGGGTTTTGGAAACATGAATTTATAGTCTTTCAAGAGGAATGAGAGGAAAAAATTCCTAACAGATGCCTGGCTTGGAAGTGCCTTTTATTCAATTCCATTTATTATTATTTTTTAATGGAAGAAAAGTAACGAGGCAAAATTGCAACTGAGTGATCACCATCTTTCTGTTTCACTAGTGAATACAGCAGCTGCATCCATACAAAGAGCTGACAGAAATCTCTTTTATCCATGGTTTTTATCTAGTCTAGGCCAATATGTTTTTTTAAAATGATTTTCAATGACAATTGGAAAAAGAAAGCTGAAATTGAAGATATAAATCAGATTCATCATTCCACTATCCCAATTCCTCTTTCCTATTTTTAAAGTAAATGCCAGATCTCACCTGTTAGAAGTAAAGTTGTAATAGCCACTTTCTTCCAGCACTTCTTCAATCACAGTCTAGAGGTGAAGGAAATTCAGTTCAGTAACCATTGATCACTGAATGAAAAGTCAACAACAACAAAACCACATAATCGTTCAAAGGCAACACACAAACCTGACCTGCATCTGTTCATAGGTTATTCCCTCCTCCAGATCAAAGCTGCTGGGAATTCCTGAAAGAGTCAAATGATATCAAGTAGGTGGTGAACATGAGAAGTCTGGCTGAGATTAAGTTAAAATTTTATAACAATTAGGACACGACTGTGGAGAGAATAGAGCAATTTCTTAATGATAAAAATGGGTAATTTCTCCTACTAGATGAATCATAATGCTAATATGAAAAGTTGAAGGAATTTCTATTGCAAAACAAAAAAAAAACTTCTTACCCATTGCTAAGTAAATAAACTGAGTCAGACTGTCATGGACTGCCTTGCTTAGCTACAGAAACCCTATGGAGCCAATAAGGCACATAAATGAGGCATACACTTGGCAGGAAAAGAATCTGGAGGAAATCAAGGGGGTTCGATGAAAGGCAGCTGAGCCTTTGTGTGGCTGCCTAGAGGCGAATCAGATCCAGTTTACACAACCGCTGGAACACACTTCCCAGCTTTAAAAACAAAATCCAAACCCCAACAGTCTTGTCCTTTGTTGTTTCATTCCCCTTCCCCCAGGGTGGCCATGACATAATGGGCTTGGAACTCTTCCTGGAACCCAGGGCTGGGTCACCGTGCCTGAGGAGAGCCTAGAAAGCCCTTGGAAAAGAGAGCAATGGTTTCCTTTGTCTCCTCGGAGTATCTCTGGCCTGAAACCCATTCATTTGCCGTAACAGACATCAAGGCAAGCTGCTGTGCTCCCTGCATGACCTTGACCTGAGGGCCTGTTGCCTTCCCCATGCTCCTCATCATTTTAGAACCTTGGCCAAACTTGGGAAATGCTATTGCAAAACCTAGAAAGAAAATTCAGTCGTTTGAGGAGTGGGGTTGATTTGTCTGATGTCCAGAGCACAACAAAACCCCTTGTGCTTTCTAAATCCAACAGGATGGCCCTGATTCCAGAGCAAACACATGTGGTCAGCCCAGCAAGCATCACCGTTTAAAGGACTTCAAAGACTGCAGAAGGCTCTGAAGGCTCTGAGCCACCTTCTCACAGCCATGTGAGTGCTAAATCCATGCAGGAGATGTGCAGAAACAATTCTGTTAGGCCCCTCATCTGAATCCTCCTCAAAATGCTCAGGGCCTGACTAGCCCCACCCTTCCCTCCTCTCCCTCCATATCTGGGGCATTTCACCTCATGGGCATTTCCATCACAGAAAGAGCAAGAGGAGAAGGAAACCAAGCAAGTGGACTTTCTGTCATGTTTGTAGCACTAATAAATGGCCAAGGAACGCGGAATGCTAAGAGCTGGGACTCGGAGCTCGAAGGGACCCCAGGCCCATCTACTCCATGTCTCTCGTTTTACAGGCGAGGTCACGGAAGCTAAGTGCCTTTGCCTGGGTCGCTCAGGTAATAAGCATTGAAGAGAAGGTATGGAGATGAAACATGTGGCTTAAAAGACTATCGGGCAAACTCCAGTGGGTTTGAATTAGAAGCGATATCCTGACCCCCTCTGATTTTCATCTGTCCTCCTTGCTGCCATGGATAGTCAAGAATTGGTTCTGTTTTCTTTTCCTTCTAAGATGAATTCTCTTTACTGAAAACTGCCAATCAAAACGACATATTTCCTAGCAGAAAAGTAGATTTCAAAGTATGTTCTTAGCACAAAATCATTACCTGTCCTGTCATTTGGGGATAGGGTATTTCCACCTGATGAATGCAGTAATAAATGACAATCTGCTGTAAAAAAGTTTGGTTCGATTGGCTCTGGAGATCCTTGGGACAGCTGAAAAGCAAAATGAAAGGATGAGCAGAAGAATTCTCTCCAGCCCAGATGGGGTGAGATTCACAGGGCTTTTCATTTCTTTGTGTTCATCCATAGAAGAGTCAGAGCTCTGTAGTTTTCAATATCTTGTAAACAGATAAGAAAACATTTCAAAGGTGCTTATCAGAAAGTGGAGGCAGTCAAATCATCGTCAAAGCAAGCTAGATGAGTCGCTGGTCACAGCAGGAATAAAAAGTCCTAGCAACATTATATTTTATGAATGCAAATTTTTAAGTGGATAGAAACATAATGGTGTGGAGATGCAACCCCAAAGTGTTAGTTTTATCAGATGCAAAAGAAATAAACGCCAATTATTCAACAAAACAATCTCTTTAGCCCAAACCACATTTTCTTTCATTCACTTTCTCTGAAGAGTGATTGACCAGGTAAAACTGCGTTTCTTAATACAAATTCTTCAACTTGCTATTCACTAATTTTTGTCTAGAAACATTTTCCTCCTCTCACTTTGAATCTGGGCCTAACATGAGGCAGAACGATTCACTCCATGACAGAACTTATGAAAGCAGCAGTTACTGACTCCCCTTCTCTACTAGTGAATCTTCTGACCATCTTTTTCACTTCTAAATAATAATTGCTCACCTCTCTTTTTCCCAATGGTGCCCAGCAGCTGTGGTACTGGAGTCATTTCAGGTTTTCGAGTTAGTATATTTTTAATGTGAGTTCACAGGCACGAAGCAGTCGTGAGTTGGACCATTCAGACAATGCAACATAAGTCAAGTCCTGTCTTTCCCTTTTGAAGGCACAGCCCCAATTCATGACTTCGAAGCAAATTACTTCCCTAACATACTCTATGTACTGGCCATCCCAAAAACCCCTGCCTGTGCCAGATTCCAAACTGCCCCCAAAACACACTCTAGCCAGAAAGGAGGCATGTTTCTGTTCTTTTCTTAAATCTTGACATATTCTCTTCTTCTACGCATCAAGAATTTTGCCATCCTAAAAGCACTAGATAAATGCTACTAGTACCCTCCTTCTCCTTCTCTTCTTCTGTTCTCCTTATCCTCTTTTCTTTTCCTCCTCTTTCTCCTTCTTCTCTTCCTGCTCTTCCTCCTCCTCTTCCTCCTTCCCATTGGAATGTGTGCTCATTGAGAACTGTGACTTTCTCACTTTTTCATTTCTACCCCTAGAACACTTAGCATAGTGCTTGGCACACATGTGTCATAAAGGCTGAATGTTTTTTCACTGATTCATTCATCTGCCTTCAGGGGTATTTAAAGACACCTGAAATTAATGGCAACTACTAAGTAACAGGATGGTATCCAGATAACATTGTAAAATAGTACGAAATTACAGGTAGCTTTTAAATATCAAATACTGCATGGGATACCATCAAGGTACTCATTTGATGTGTGTGTGTGTGTGTATGTGTGTGTGTTTTGAGAGAGAGAGGGAGAACAAACCTCTACGGGGTATATACAAAAATGCAGTGGTAAACAAGCCAGCCCCAGTCCTTGGAAGTCTTAAGATAAAACAAAGCAGACTTGATCTCAAATCATAATGAGCATATTGGTTCAAACAAAACTTTCTCCACAAATCCTGTGGCTCTTTGTATGCAAGGGCTTTTCACAGAATCAGAATCATAGAGTTGGAAGGAACCTCAGAGGCCCCTACCTGGAAAAGAATATCATCTACAACACACCCACCAAGTGGCCATCCATCTAGCCTTTGCCTGCAGAGTTCCAAGGGGGTGGTCCCTATGAACTGGGCTCTGGAGGCAGCCCAGTCTCCTGTGTGGTCTGAATTGGCCTCTTTGCCACCTCTGGCCATGGTGCTGAATCAGCATATGCTGCCTCTGGTCATGGTTCTTAGCTCTGAGCTTTGGGGTCCAATTCTGCCTCCCAGCCAGCTTCCTGTCAGTCTCAGCTCAAACTATACCTTCTGCAGGGGCCTTTCCCAGTCCCCCCAGATGCCAGTGCCTTTCCTCTAAGATTACCCCTCCCCTTTTACCATATAGAGATTATTTAGAGACAGATGGATAGATTGGTCTTACATATAAGCATGTAGCTGTTTGAATGTTATCTCCCCATTAGAAAATGAGCTCTCTGAGTGCAGAGCCTGTTTTCACCTTTCTTTGTCTCTCCAGTACCTAACACAGCACCTGGCACACTCTAAATGCTTCATAAATATTAGGTGACTTGATAAGACTGCCCTTCAAATACTTTGCTACTATCATATCTGCACCCTGTCCCCCAAGTCTTCTCTTTTCCAGGTTAAACCACACAAGATCCCTCAATCACGCCTTGCTGGGCATGGACTTGAGGATTTTCACCATCCCGGTTGTCCCCTGGATATGCTCCAGCTTTCCAAATCCACATGGTAGTTAGGATAGATTATTCCTGCAGGAGCATGTAGAATGGATTGAATGGTCTAGGGTGGTGTCAGGGAGGCTAGAAACATAGATGTCTAAGGCATTTTAATGGATAGATCTATGGGTCTTGGTGTCCTCATGGATGACATGGGCAGCATGAAACAGTGAAGAGTCAAAGGTAACTCCAAGATGAAGAACTTGGGGCTGGGGGACTATGACTGACACAGACTGAACAGTCAGGAAGGGAAGCAGGTTTTAGCAGGAAATGATGAAACTAGATGTGAGAAATGATGGCACACAAGCAGAAATGGGCTGGAGACAACTGGAAATACAAGACTGGATACGCCAGGGACATTTCTTCTAGGCATTATTAAACCAGAATACGTAAAACTTTTATGATAGATGGTTGTTCACTTAGGTGGGCATGCTATGATCCCAAACACATTTGAAGTCACTTAATAGAATCATAGGATCATAGATTAGAGTCAGAAGGGATCTCTGAGATCATTACATTTGACCCTTGTATAGAGAAAGAAATTGGAGGCCAGAGATATTAAATTCCTCGCCTGAGGTCACATATACAATAAATGGAAGCTGCATATTTGAACCTGGGTGCTCCTAATAGATCATTTTATAAACCCACAATTCCTCTAAAAGCATCTCTGATAGAATTCGAACTGGACAACCCTGAATCCTTTCATCTCCAGAAAATCCACGCACTACATCTCTGTAGGCCCAGAGACAATCCTATTGTCCAGAGTGACCCCAAACCCTTAGACACAGCAAATTACTTAGAAGGGCAGTGTGGTGTGATAAAATGAATATCAGATTTGAAGTCTGAAGACCCAGATTCAAATCCAAACTCTGCTATTTATTACCTGGATGACCTTGAGCTGGTCACTAACTTCTTGGACCTCAGTTTCCTCACTTGTCAAACAAAGTGCTTGCACCAGGTAATCTACATTTATCTTCTAGCTCTATGAACTTCAAAATCAGTACATTAAAGAAAAATGGTGACATGCTCACAACACACTTATTGTTGTTAGTTAGTCATTTTAGTCGTGTTTGACTCTTTATGACCCCATTTGGGATTTCTTGGCAAGGATACTGGAGAGATTTAGTATTTCCTTCTCCAGTTCATTTGACAGATAAGGAAATTGAGGCAAACAGGGTTAAGTGACTTGGCCAGGGTCACATAACTAATAAGTGTCTGAGGCCAGATCTGAACTCAGGAAGACAAGTCTTCCTGACTTCAAACGCAGCATTCTATCCACTGCACTACCTAGCTGCCCCATACTAACTTTACCAAAATACTAGGCTTGAGTTTTCAATGATTCTGTCTACATAACGCTACAGGTTTAGTATTTTTAAAAGGGTCAATTGATAAAGTCCTTCACTAAAGACCTACTCTGATTCTAGGTTCTGGAAGGCAGTAGACCTCAGACTCGGCCAGATTCTAGCAAGCTGGAATGGCCCTGTGACAGATGACATCTGTTGTCTAAGGACCAGATTAGCCAATATAGCCAAGAGATTGGCCCAAGGATAATGGACTGTTTTTCAAATGACAGCAATTCACAAAACCTGACTGCTAGGTCAAAGAGGAGTGGTTATCTGTGTGAGAGGAAGGAGTGATCACACCAGTGAAAACTAACTCCTTGGAATATTGAGGGATAATTTAAATTATAATGTTTTAGGAAAAGAACTATATTTTAGAAGGAACCCAAAGCATCAAAAAACAACTGGAGATAATGACAACTTTACTCATACCAGAATTGATATTATTGTATCTTGGTGACCTTATCACAAAAGCAGGGCATCGCTTGCAGCTGAAACTAATATACAAATTAGGAAGAATCTAATTTCCTTTGTGCAGCTTCTGAAGGAAATTGCGCAACACTTAAATGGAAGCAGGTGGCAGAAACGAAAGGGGTTTTGATAGGTACTGCTACTCTCTCTCCCTCTTCCCTTGTTTTCCTCTTCTTTCCTTCTATCCCCCTTAACTGACTTATGCCACTTTGAGAACATGCAACATCATATTTTAATAGAAAACTATGTTTGTGGGACGTTCCTACTATTGCTCCTGTATTCTAATAGCTTTTTAAATAATCATTGTCTATAACCATGGAGACCAGAAAACCTTCACTTGAGTTCAAAAAATCAACTTAGAGGCATCATGGCTGGACAGCAGTGGTTCTTATGAAAAAAAAATAACTGTTTGCATTGGAGTTTAATTTTTGGAATTTTGGTGCCTTAACTCGAGGCAGCAATGTAGGACATGATCGCCAAGAGGATTACTCTAGCCCTAATCTGGAGGCCTAATTGTTCAGAACATGGGAAGTGACAAGACATTCCCGAGAGAATCTGACCTGGTCAGACCACGGGGTGCCTTTTCGTTAGGGAGAACACGGACAAGTTGGGGGGTGTCTAGAGGAGGAAACAGGCTGTTGTAGGAGCTTCAAGGCCATGTCACCAGAACTCAAACGACGGAGCTAGGGATAACTCCCCTGGAGAAGAGAAGGCTTGAAGTGGGAGGATATGATAGAATATCGTATATACAGAGAATATGTCTCTAATCTTGCATCTGAAGGACTATCAGGTGCAAAGGGGATGAGACTTGCTCCATGTTGCCTCAGAGGTGATAGCAAAAAAGTTGACTTCAATTTATTACAAGGAAAAACTTCCTAATAATTGGCCCCATCTAAAAATGTAGTGAGGGGCCTCAGAAGGTTTCCCATCACTGGAGATCTTTGAGCAAAGGCCAGATGGCTATTTTGGAGGTATGTTATGGAAGGGATTCCTGTTTGGGAACAGGATGGAGTTGGCAGTCACTGGGGTCCCTTCAGCTCTGAGATTCTAGGATTCATCTGGCCTGGGTTTCTAGATGGGTTAGAGCCACAATTATTTCCCCTGATGCAGGGAAAAGCTATAGTCGCAGGTGTTTCTGGGATAAGGAGGCAGTGAGTAAGTAACTCCTGGCCCCGCTAAACAAAAGAGAAATTCTGTTTTCAGAAACTTCACTGTCTGATTGTCAAGGATTGACGTTATGGCCTTATACCTCTAGCGGTAGAAGGATTGGGCCATCAAGGAAGCTGCTTAAGAGGACACGCTAAAGCCCAGGAATGAGTGATCCAGCTGGCCGGTGCAGCAGGTATCTATCTATCAGGACAGAATAGGGGCAGGAGAGAAGAAGAAGGGAGGGAACCAGGGGGACAGACTGGATGGCAGGTGGAATCCTCATGGTAGAGTCAGGTTTCAGTTAAACCAAGAAGGCAGATGAAATGACAGAAGACTGGATGAGGATGTAGGGAAATTTGTGGATAATAGTGGGAATTCTGAAGGGTCACATGGAGTGGGTTAGGCAATAGAAGACCCAAGCTAGAGTGGAGCTGGCAAGGTGGAGGGGTGATCAGAGGGAAAAGGCATAAGGGCACGATGCATGGGACCACGGGGCAAGGACAACAGGACTTAGCTATGCTGCGCTCCCTGAGCAGAACCAGACTGCTGGAGGGAAGGTGGAGCTCGTCTTCCCTACAGTTCAAGATCATGCTTAAAGTCCTGGTGTCACGGAGGGTTGTGGCCTTCATTAGGCTTCTCCTACACATATGTTAGGTCATTGGATTGAGAGTCAAGCAAGCGTCATCTTTCTCCGTCCTTTAATTTAAGGTTAGAACATCTACTGTATTGGGCACCCCATTAATCCCATTAAAGAGGTGACTCTTAGGCACACCAAGATTTCCCATTTGCATTTCCCACATAGCATATTATACCGTGGGAGGGTGCTCTGGGGTACTCAGGCTCTTTCACTGCTTTCCAAAGAATACCCAATGGGACTGCCTAACAAGGTTGCAAAACATAGACAAGTTGACCTCTACTTGAGACCCTCTCAAGTTACCCCACTTCCCTTTATAGTCTCTTGATTAATGGAATCTTATGGCTTAATGGAATTAACAAGAACCTACTCTTTGGCCGAGGGGGGCACAGAAAAGCTGGTGAGAAGGAAGATCCCCAAAGGAGAGCTGTATGAGTTTCTTGGCCACTTAGCGCATCAGGTGCAGAGAGGAAGATGATATTTAATTAATGACATATGAACCAGGAAACTCAACCAACATAAGAGGAGAGTGTATGTGTATTTTTAAGTGGTGCAAAGTTGTAGTGGTCCAGAGAGTCGCCATTCCAATCCAGCTACCAGAGAGATTGGGTGCCATGGTCCCTTCCATGCTATAAGACCAGGATTTGTACTGTTCTGTAAGGCTGAGATTTTGCTGTATATCACTTTAATCATGATGAGATTTTAGCAAACCCAATCTTTCCTCAGGAGTTCTGGGCTTCTGACTGTTTAAAATATGTTTGGTGAGTATTCCTACTGCAGCATGTAAATATTGTATAGTAAATAGCTGGAAACTCCTTCCGCCCTGTTTTGATCTCCCGTGGCCATGTGTCTATGCCCTACTCGCCAAACCAGCCCATGAAAGAGGCAAGAGCTCTCTGATCTCTGCAGAGGCAGTTTTATGCTTTGTTTTTCTGCAGCTGCCTACATTTTCACTCCTCCCTTCTTCCGGTGAAGCAAGACAAAGATAAAAACATTCTGTATCCATTCTTTTTTTTCTTATCAGAGAACCCATCATATTTCCCAAATAAAGAGCAGCAGTACACTTACCCATTGACTTTGTGATGGGGAACAAGAAACTTGGTAAAGAAAAACTAACTGATCAAGTGGGGAGGTTGTACCCAAACTGACACACGCAAAAGCTTAGAAGAAAGTCTTTAGGCCCTAACCTCATTGAGCCTTAGTTTACTCAGCTATAAAATGGGGATACTGCAACCTGTAACATCTACCTCCCAGGGACATTGTGAGGATCAAATGATAAATTATGTGAAAGGTTCTTTGGAAACCCCAAATAAGCCAATATTATTGCGAATAATCATGAAAATAACAAGCTCAAGTGGGACTAGAGGGGATAGAGTGCTGGACTCCCCAGAATCAGGAAGATCTGAATTGGAATCCTGTCTCAGATACTTACTAGCTCTCTGACCCTAGGCAAAGCAGTCAACCTCTCTTCAGTGTCTTCATCTGTAAAATGGGGGTAATAATCTGATAATAATTCACAGAGTTGTGGTGAGGATCAATTAAGATAATATACATGCAGGGTGTTTTGCCAACCTTAATGCTCCCTTTAAATGTAAGCTATATTGTTGTTGCTGTTGTTATAATCAGCATTACCCCTTCTCTGAACGGACTCATTGCACCATGTGTGACTTGGGCCTATCTGAGAATGGGGAGTCTGGTGGTCCTTCCTCAAAATGGTGCCTTAGAAAAGGAGTGGTGGCCCCGCCCTCGGGCTCTGCTTTTCTCTGTAGCTTCTAAAACCCCTTCATGCCTTAGCTTCCCTATCTAGAACACACAGAGGCAGCGTACCTACACCAAGCGCAGCAAATCACACAATCTCAGGGCAGGAGAGGATGGCAAAGGTCAATAACCACTTCCCCATCAGACGGATGACAACACCGGTCTTCTTGTTCACCATCACAAGGCCAGCCAATAGGGGTGGCCCAGGGGCTAGAACTCTAGGCCTCTGAGTCAGAGTCTAGTGAAGTAACTGAATATTAGCAGCAAAGGACCAAGGTATTTTTTTTAATTATATTTACATAAAATAACAATTCAACTCTTCAGATTTCTTTTCTCCCCATAATCTTTAAGGCATATGATACTACCTTCCCAGAAAGACAGCTGGAGAAATCAAGAGAATTAAAAGTGTTGCTTTCCTTCATTCTGTACCTCGAGCATGAAAGGTTCCCCTGTGCCCTACACAGATGATCAATGAGGACACCATGGAAAAGGGAATGGGTCCCCCAACCCCCACCCCAATGCACTGTAGCCAATACCAAGATGAGCTACTGCTATATATAGAATACTGTACCTTTTTAATTTCGGATTTCAAGTTACAAGGATTGCTCTGCTGGCTGAAGAGGGATTTCTTGAATCTCTCAATAACCCTTCTTTTCAAATTGTGGTGCAGAGCAGGAGGGAGCTGCAGGGAATCAGAAAACAACCATCATGACCTAATTGAGACCACCGCAGAGCAGCCTTGGAGGTCCTTTGGATGGAAAGACTATGCAACAATAGTTAACGGCATTAGAATCAGAACTTGAACTTATTTCTTAGACTATGGGCGTAGATTATGTGAAATTATATACACACATAATTATATAATTTTTGTGTGCTACAGCCCTGAAAGAGCATGTGTATGTATCTATATATGTATGTATGCCTGTGTGTATATGTGTATATATACATACATACACATATATGTACATATACACATATATTCTGTATGTCTAGTCTACATTCTATACTGTATATATGCACATATTGCCCATATATTGCACTATACTCTGTAGATGGCAAATATACATTATATAACGTGTATATGTCTATATGTATAATATATCTGTATACAGAGTTTCTATATTTAAAAGACTGCTTTTATTTGCCTCTCACTTGCCATTTTTATTAATACCATGTCACCATCTGCCATGGCCAAACATGTTATAAACACATTCCATCTCATCTCCATGCCTTTGAACTAACCGTGCTCCATTCTTGGAATGGCCTTGCTTCTCCTCTGCCTCTTCAAATCCCTAATTTCCTTCAAAGTTCAGTTCAAACGCTACTCCTTACATGAAGCCTTTACTAATCCTTGTGTCTTACCCCCCCCAAAATTACCTTGCACTTATCTTTCATCTATTTATATATGTACACACTGTCCCGGCTGACATATTTTCACTTCGGTCTTTATATCCCCAGCACCTAGTACAAGGCTTAATAAATGCTTATTGATCAGTTTCCATAATATCCAAATGGGTCTTGACTAAGTCCACCCGAAAACTAATCTACACACTGAGCCCCACCATCAAGGCACAAGGCGGTACTACATGTTTGCTGGGAGCTAGACACCACAGCCAGGGAGAAGATGGGAACCACAAGGTCTCTTAGGGGCCGAGAAGGATTAAATCCAGAAAATGGGATCATAGGATCTGGAGCTTGAGGGGTTAAGCCGGATGGCCTCTGAGTTCCCTTCCAACTCAAGATCTATGATCTTATCAACACAGAAATTACATTTCAGAGTAGGGAAGTGACTTGCTCAGGAAGTGAGGGGCAGAAACCAGAATTTGAACCAATGTCCTTGAATTGGTTCTAAACACTACGAGAAGATGCCTCTGAACTGACAAAGGAGCTAGTCTAATAGAGGAGGAGGGCCACCCCATCATCAGAACAGGAGGAGAGAATAGATAGCTAGTGCACCTAGTGTAGACAGACAGGGAAATGTTGAGCTGATGAGTGTGATACATGGGAGAGCCCCCATCGGATGATCTTGATTTCCTGTAAAGAAGTCAGCTCAAGGTCTCTATAGGAGAACTAGAGGAAAGATATTTAGAGTCATAGACCCATCAAAGGAAAAGAAGACCTGGATGCCACAACATAATGGGAAATAAATGAAAACACCAACACTGCTAAAACATGGTCCCCTCAGATCAACACAAGTTCTTCCCTGTACCAAAAAATAAAAATAAATCCCAGTCCATGCCATTGCACCCTTTCTCCTCTTCCCTGTCAGTGCCAACAAGTACATACTGCTCCTAGAAAGAGCAAAATATACTTACTGTTTCTGTCTTATGACCACCAGTCACTCTCCCAACTCCTTACATCTGGCTTCTGTCCCCACCACTCTACCTAAAATGCTCCCCCCCACTCGTTGTTACGGAAAATACTTTGTCAGACTTTCAAGTGATAATCCATAGTAACACCAATCGGTCAATAAACATTTATGAAGTGCCCATTATGTGCCAGGCACTGTGCTAAGCTCTGGGGATACGAAAAGAGGCAAAAGGCCTCAAAGAGCTTCCAATCTAGCAGTGGAGACAACATACAAACAGATGTGTACCAAGCAAGCTTTACACGAAATAAACAGGAAAGAATATTGCATTTTTATCATTATGGCTCCAAAGTCACTAATGATGTCCTTAGAACGCATGGAACATTGTGATCTCCCTCTCTTTACCAACTCTGCCCTTCAGATAACCTCATCAACATGCCCCGTTTTCTCTTTCTTTGCTTTACCTCCTTTCACTGTCTAAATATTTGAACAAGATGTCTACACGCATTACTTTTACTGCCTCACTTCCCAATCCCTTTTCAATCTCTTGCAATCTGGTGTCCAGTCTTATCATTTAACTGAAACTGTTCTCTCCAATGGCCTTTTGCTTTGTTTTTTTTTTTTTCCAGTTCTTATCCTGTAGTATATAACAGAGTTGACCAACCACTCTTGGCAAAGATACTGGAGTGGTTTGCCATTTTCTTCTTCAGCTCATTTTACAGATAAGGAAACTGAGGAAGGCAGGATTAGGGGATTTGCCCAGGGTCACCCAGCTAGGAAGTGTGTGAGGCCAGATTTGAATTCAGGAAGATGAGTCTTCCTGACTCCAAGCCCTCGTTGCCTCACGTAGCTTCCCCTCCATTCTCTCTTACCTTTATAAAACAACAACATGCTCCTCTACTTAGCTTTGAAAACCCTTCACAGTCTGGCTCCAGTGGACTTTTCCAGGCCTTCCCCCCCACCATATTTTATGCCTTCACGCATTCTGCCTTCTGGTCATACTGGCCTCCTTGATGTCCCTCCACATGACATCCATCTCCCATACTCCTTTGCAATTTGTCCCCAGGCTTGGAATGTGATTCTTCCTCACCTCCTCCCTGAAGAATCATTAAGATTCTGTCAAAGTTCAATTCAAGCCTCACCTTCTACCAAAGGCCTCTCCTGATCCCACAAGTTGCTAGTGCCCTCCCTATGAAAAATACTTTGCAGAAATAGCAAAGTGCAGTGGGTGGAGCCCTGGGCTTGGAATCAGAAAGACCTGGGTTTGAATCCTACCTTAGACACTTACTAGCTGTGTTACCTCAATTTTTTCAGCTATAAATTTAGGATAATAAGAGCACCTGCCTCATAGGATTGTTCTGAGATCAAATATTATAAAATACATTTGTAAAATGTGTTTTGCAAGCCTTAAACCACAAAAATGTTAGTTATTGTTATTGATGTTATTTTCTTTGTACATGTTCCCCCCATTTTCTGTAAATTCCACGAGGGCAGAACTAGGACATTTTTGTTTTTATACGCCTAGCATCCAGCATAGTTCCTGACACATAAACAGGTGCTTAATAATTGTCCTTGGTACTGTCAAATAGTTCAACACCAGGAACAAAAAGGATTTTCTTAACGGAAATGACATTAAAGAGTCGTCAACATCTCCTTTGCCACTACACCCTAAGGACCATGGGATTTTTCCATCTGACTTGAAACCTTCCTTATGTGTTGTCTCCCCCCATCTAATGAGAGCCCTTGAGAGCAGGGATTATCTTCCTCTTCTATTTGTTTCCCCAGTGCTTAGCATAATGCTTTGCATTTACTAGGTGTTCAATAAATGCTTTATTAATTCCTGTGTTCAATAAATGTTCATTAAACTAATTTTCTCAAGAAAAGAAATAGCCTCCTAAATGGTCTTATTACATCTCATCTATCACCTTTCCCACTCGTCTTCCCACTTCTACCTAAGTAATCTTCAGATGTATTACTATGACCGTGTCATTCTTCTATCCAAAAGATTTTCAGTTTTCCATTGCCCACCAAATAAACATAAATCATGACTCTGGCACTCAGAAATCTATCCAAATTTCTCAGCATTTTGCCTGGATTTTGCACTAAGCACACTTTCCCTTGTTTCATACTGTTTTGTCTTGCATTTTTCTGCACATTTGTCCTTATTTGAATTATACTGTAAACTACTTGAGAATAAAGTCTGTGTCATACGTTACAGACATTGGGTAAATGTTTGTTAAACTGAATTGAACTAATTGAGCTGTGATTAATGAAAGACAGAAGAAAAGGTAGAAACATGACATGCCTCCCTTGAGGTACGAGGGGGAAGAAAGGAGGTGGTAGGGAAGAGTCTGTGCCAGATAATCATAGTAATCTCTCCAAAGCCTACTAGACAATTCCTTATGCCAAAAATCAGATTTGTCATCAACTCATAACAAATTGGGTAATTGCCTAGGATTGTCTTGATATATGTATAAAGAGGGGCAAACATGTACAACCAGCTATTTTATATATACTGAACATTCATAATTCAGGAATGTATTACTTGGGAATCATCTTCTCATTACCACTCCTTCCAGAGGGAATGTTTCCAATACTGGCTTTCAGTCATCAGGTGATAAATTCAAATTAGCTTGGAATTCTTGAATAGAATTATAATGGGAAACTTCCAACTAACTCAGCTCTGCACTTATTACTTATAGCAGGCTGAAAATATCTTTTTTGTATAAACAACTTCTTCAGTCCAATTAAAACTTATACACAGGGCAATATTAGAACACAGTGTTATTAATTATTAAGATTAATGATAATAGTTAGCATTTATATAACACTTTAAGGTTTACACAACACTTTACAAACTTGATCCTTACAACAGCCCTCAGAAGTAGGTACTATTGTTATCCACAATTTATAGAGAAAAAAATTGAGGCTGACAAAGGTTAAGGATTTGTCCAAGGTCACACAGTTATTAAGGATGTGAGACAGGATTCGAATTCAGGTCTCCTTGACTTCAAGTTCAGCTATCCCTTGAGCTAATCCATTGCACCACCCAGCTAATCCATCAAAATGGGCTACACCCCATCTTTAAGTCTTCCAGGGAAGTTTTTACATTACCCACTAACCAAGAACTCAGGCTACAGTTTAAATATTTATCTGTGAGACTGTTCTTGTACATAAAATAATAATACATCTTTATAAAGCACTTTAAGAATAATTCCAACTTGTATGACTTATAACAACATGCTTACTCTATGATCTCTAACTTTTGTCTGCCTTGCAAATGCATGCAAGGGAACTAGGTAAGTGGGTATGGATGGATCAGTATAAACTCCTGATTACTAGAAAAACAAGTCAAAGTATGAATGTCCCGCTAG